ATCTTGGTAGATTATATGTGTCCAGGAATTTGTCCATCTCATCCAGATTGTCTTGTTTCTTGGCATATAGTTGTTCATAGTATCCTCTAATGATGTTTTGTATTTCTTCTTTGTCTGTTGTTATATTGCCTGCTTCATTGAAAATTTGATTCACCTGGTCCCTTTTTCTCTTCTTAATAAGTCTCTCTAGTAGTGTATCGATTTTGTTTATCTTTTAAAAATAAACAGATTTTACTTTCATTTATTTTCTATATAGTTCACTTACTTTCTATTTCATTTATTTCTGCTCGTATCTTTATTATTTCCTTTCTCCTAGAGTTTTTTCTTTTTTATTTTTTTTGCTGTTGCTTTTCCAATGCTGTAAGGCATAGTGTTAGGTGATCCATTTGCCTTCTTTCTGTCTCCCTCTTATGTGCACTAATTGCTATGAACTTCCCTCTTATGAAAATCACCAAGAAGATAGAGAAAATAACAACAATAAAAAAAAAGCACATGAGGATAATAAATGAGAAATACTAGATTCCACAAGATGCTCATACATCAGAATAATTGGCATCCCAGAAGGTGTAGAAACTAATAACAGCATGGAAAATCTATTCCATGAAATCCTGGAAGAATTTCCCAAGTCTAGAGAGGCACTTAAGCATCCAGACCCAAGAAATACAAAGGACCCCAAATAGAATCAACTCCAGACGATCTTCCCCAAGGCACATCTTAGACAGACTGTCCAAGACCACAGATAAAGACATGATAGTAAAACTGGCAAGAGAGAAACAAGAAATGACTTACAAAGGTCATCCCATCAGGCTAACACCAGACCTCTCAATGGAAACAATGCAAGCAGGGAAAGAATGGGAAGATATATTGAAAATGTTAAGAGAGAAAGAATTTCAACCAAGATTACTGTATCCTGCAAGATTATCCTTTATATGGGAAAAAAAAAGATTAAAATCTTCACAGACAAAACCTAAAAGAATTTGACAACACCAGACCAGCTCTTTAAGAAACCCTGAATAAAGTACTGTTCCAGGAAAACTAAAGAATTAACAGAAACAAAGGAATAAAAGGCAGCTAAGACAATGGCCAACTTAAAGGTTAGGACAGATTCAGTACCATCGATAATAACATTGAATGTGAATGGATTAAATTCTCCAATCAAGAGACACAGACTGGTTGAATGGATAAAAAAACAGAAACCCTCTCTCTGTTACCTACAGGAAACCCACCTCATGTATAAAGACATACATAGACTGAAAGTGAAGGGTTGGAAAAAGATTTTCCATGCAAATGGGAACCAAAAAAGAGCTGGAGTTGAAATACTAATTTCTGACAAAATAGGCTTTAAAACAAAAACCATTTGAAGAGACAAAGAAGGGCACTATATTGTAGTAAAAGGATCAATAGGTCAAGAAGATATAATGCTTATAAATATCTATGCGCCTAACACAGGAGCACCCATATATGTGAAGGAAAGACTGTTAGATCTAAAAGGGGAGATAGACTGCAATACACTAATTGTTGGAGACGTCAACACTGCACTATCCCCTCGGGACAATCATCTAGACAAAAAATAAAAAGATAAAGCATCTAAACGATACCATAAATCAAATAGACTTAACAGACATCTATAGAACTTTCCATCCCAAAACCACAAGATACACTTTTTTCTCACCCCCTCATGGAACCTTTTTGAAGATTGACCACATCATAGGTCACAAAGCAAGCCTCGACAGATTCAAAGGCATAGAAATTATATCCAGCATGTTCTCTGACCATGATGTAATTAAACTTGAGTTTAATTTTAAGAGAAATCCTCAAAAATACTCAAATACATGGAAACTAAATAACCTATTCCTGAATGACTCCACAACTACTGATGAAATAAAGACTGAAATCAAAAGATTGATGGAAGCCAATGACAATGAGAAGCAATTCTTAACCAAGGGCAATTTCCCTTCTCTCCTCCTTTTCACCATCCATCTAGGCAATTTTTTTTTGCTATTTTATATAAAGTACATGCATTGCCAGAGAGAGAGAGAGAGAAAGTGAGAAATCACCCCCAAGGGGGAGATGGCCACATCACAGTTTGTTCTCCTCTGGGGATTTAGGGCATGCATGCACATGCACCTGGTGCATTTTTTTCAAGTCACTGGGACTAGAACTCAAACCTCAGAGTTAGCCAAGTTGGATCCAGTTGCCTTAACCTCCACACTACCTGCTGCGTAACCCAGGTGGTGGGGGGAGGCAATGTCTTAGTCTTTGACAATGTCTGGAGACCCATTTTTGGCTGTCAAACTGTTGTGTGTAGGGGGAATGCTATTCACATCTAGAGGATAGATGTTATTAAACACACTACAATAAATGACAACTGTTCCCTCCAATAAAAAAGAATAATTGAGCCTAAAATGTCAATAAGGATGAGACTGAGAAATTCTGGTCTAGAGAAACAGTAATGAGATGGACTCTTAGAATTTGTAGATTTAACTTTTGTGACTTAAGACAAGCATTTTTAATCTCTCCCCACCAAAATAAATTAAGGGTTTTTGTTCACCTTTGCTACTTCAGTCACTAAGGGGCTTACTACAGCTGCTAATGCACATCAGGCAGGCAGCAGATTGAGATTTTTTCCCCAGAAACATCATAGCAGAAACTGATAGTCTGGACTAGTGCTTCTCCTACTTGAGCGTGTATAATTTACAGTCATCTGGAAAAGTTTATTAACCAACAGACTGCTGGGTCTTAGAAATACTGATTCAGTGGGTCTAGGGTGAGAACTAAAGTGTTTTCCTTCTCTTATTTCTATCAAGTTTTTGTGTTATTCTGAGGTTGCTAGTCAGAGGACCACATTGGCTCAGGCTATTTTCAAATAGCTTCAAAAGCCTCTCGTGTGACATGTTTAGTTGGGGCCTGACTGAAATCCTAAAAACTTAGGGTATAGAAAAAGAAGCCAGCTATTTGATTAAAGAGTAAACACAGTGAGCCACCCCACATCTATATCCCAATATACATTTGTTCTTCTTTTCCTGATTGTCACAGTAAAAGGGACACAAAAGAGATCCATCAGTCCCTCATACATATTTTTATTTCCTCACTCTCAACAGTTCTAACATGGCCTCAGCTTTCTTCATTTTTACTACAATTATCTTCCAAACTCTAACTCTATGTTGCCATCTATGGTACCTCCTGATTTTCTCTTCTGTTTGCTATTTTTTTAAAGAATCATGTTTGAGTCCCTCATATTTTTCATGTACTCAAATGAAAAACCCAGACAGATCCAATGTCATGTATAGAGAATTGTGGTTGAAGCACAAATGGGAATTTAGTGGGGATATGAAATGTAGAGAATGTAGAGTTAATAGAAGAGGCAAAGTCATCAGCTACTTTGTGTGCTCTCTCCTCGTTTCACTACAGGTACTCAGTATGTACACCTTTCACTGGTTCCTAAACCCCATAATCTTTTACTTTCAAAGTATGTGGAAATTTATCTAAATATTTATTTTCAAGTAGCTTATTTGGTACAGATACAGAAACTTAAAGTTAAAAAGACAGAATGAAAGCTATGGAAAATGCAAAACCAAACAAAACTTTTAAGAGAAGCAAGTCAGGTGTTTCATACCTGGGGAAAACTCTGAGAAACTTCAAGTCATAAACAACGAAAAGGATATCAACCAGCAGAGTTATCCCAATAATAGCAGCATCTAAAGAATTAAGAACATCAGAAAAATAACGCCGTCTCCTGTAATATAAAACAAAAAATATAAGTTAATTCTCTCCTGAAAAAAGGAATGTATTAAGAGTATAAATTATATGACTTATCACCATTAAAATTCTGCTTATAAGCTAAATAATATGATTGAATGTATTAAAAAATGTAAATAAATAAAATTTAAAAAAATTTTAAATGCATTTTCTGGGGACCAGCAGTTGGCATAATGGCTAGGTCGCTGGACTTCCATGTGGTTGACCTTGGTTCGAGTCCCCTCCCCAAAGGGGATAACTTCTTGCTTTCTGTCTCTCTGTCTCTGTCTTTCTGGCAAGTGCATGCACCCTATAGCAAAAATCTCTCAAAAAAATGCATTTCCTAGGGGTCAGCAGGTGGTGTGATGGTTAAGGTGCTGGACTTACATATGGGCGACCCTGGTTTGAGACCTGGACCCAGCAGCTTGAAAAGCACACCAGGTGAGTATGTGTGCACCCAAAATCCCAAGAGAAAACGGAGGGGAAGGGATTGCAACTTGGCCATTCTCCCTTGGGGATGATTTCTCAGTTTCCCTCTCTCTGTCTCTCTCTGGCAAGTGCATGTGATCTATGCTCTATGGCAAAAACCTAAAAAAAAAGCATTTTCTAGACTAGACAGAAAAAAATATTTAACATTAATGGAAAGTCTTCAAATAGTAAATTTATATTCATTATTTGATGCAAATATGAGAAAAACATTTATATGAAAATTTAAGCAGTAATAAGCAATCAAACTAACCTATTGAACAAGAGGTAAACATTATCATCATATAGGTAGGAGGAGAAAAAGTATAAATTTGAATCGTGAATATGGTCCCAACCTTAGAGCAACACAGTGTGGGATGTACAAGAAGAGCTTCTGAGATGGAGAGGGGTCTGTTATTTTGGCTTGCAAACTCATGGTCTGGCTTTGTACCCACATTGGAATTCCAATGGGTTGGTGTGTTCTCCCCCAGGTAAAGTGAACTTTCATCCACCACACTTTTTTTTCCCATCACTGGCTCTTTCAGACATGGACACTGGTCTCTGGGGAAAGCTTTTTTCTGATTCTTGGCAGCCTCTTCCAGGCTCTGAATAACCTGAAAGCAGACAACTGTCCTTAGCTCAATGGCATGGGGATAGGAAATCAATAAGATGGGAGATAAAAAGCCTTCTGAGATGCTCTAGATGAAGTGACATTGGGGAGTGTAGCACCTGACTCCCATAGAGGCCCAGGCCCAGCACTTAGATCACCTACCCACCTTCTCAGAAAACCAGAGGCAGAGAAAATCAACTGCTACCTCACTACCAAGTCTTGTTGATAGGATGAACATGCTTCAGAACTCTTGTGCACCTTAACAAAAGTTTTCATTTTAACTTAGATAAATGGTTATTTATGATCTATTCTCTAGTACTTAATATACTAGCAACACTTATATAGGACTTAACTATTAAAGTGTTAATATTTTTACTTCACATATTTGTACTTCACTTCCTCTATCTCTCTCTTTTTAAAGTTTTGCTATAGGATGTGTGTACTCACCAGAGAGAGAGAAAAGGAAAGTGAGAAATCACCTTCCAGAGGGAATGATTATGCTGCAATTTCTTCTCTTCATCTTCCTCTTGGCATTTTGGGCAGCTTGTACATGTACCCAGCATTTTTCAAACTGCCAGGTGTGGGATTTGAATCTTGCAGCTGGCCATGTGGGATCTAGCCATCTATCACCATGCCATAGGCTGGCCCCGTGCTCCTCTTTCTGTGTGTTAACACATGTAAACACATCAGCTGCTTGCCCCTTTTCTCAAGTCTCTTTTAAGCTTTACCTGTTGAATGAACCAACCCTCTAGAATACATTGTTGGAGGCTGGAGAGCCGGATGTAACAATACTACTATTAATACATACTTTTTAATGTCAGTGGGCATGTGTATATGTAAGAACCTGCTAACAAGACCAGGTTGTGCTTAAATACCTTTCCTCCAATTCTCCATTCTGTCAGGATCCTAGGTGTACACTTGGACCGTGGGAGTGCTTTTCAAGTTAGTGGGGCTAGGACTCAAAATCTGGTTGGCCATTTGTGATTGGTCTGGACTTCTTCTGCACAGCATTTAAACACTGTGCTATAGAGCCAACCCACAATAATACTATTAAAGTCCAATTTATACAAAACTAGGATTTAGATTATTGTTTCTCTGTGAATCATTCCTTTAAGAATTATTTTGGTAAAGAGAGACATATTTGGTTAGGTTGATCTGTTCATTTTTTGAGATAATTTATTTCTTTTTAAGAGAGAGGTTTTTGCTATAGGGCGAGTGCACTTGCCAGACAGAAAGTGAGGAATCACCCCCCTGGGGAATGGCCATGCCACAATCCCTTCTCCACCATTCCCCTCTTAGGATTTTGGGCACACATGCACATGCACCTGGCATGCATTTGAAGCCTTTGGGTCCATTACTCAAACAGTAGTTGACTATGTGGTGTCCAGAGATGTAACCATTATCCCATCTGCCGGTCCCTTGGAAGACTTTTTAAAACAGTATAAAATAACCTAATGCATTAAAAAATATATCAAACTTACCCTTCTACATACACTCGAAGAAGAACATCCACGAAGAAAAATATAGCAATAGCTATAGAAAATGAGCGATATCCCAAAGGAATATAAATTTGGTTCTCAGTGACAAGTATGTCAGCAATGGCAAGCCCCACATCCACAAAGATCAGCAAAACTCCAAATATTCTATAATAGAGAAAGAAAGAAAGAAAGAAAGAAAGAAAGAAAGAAAGAAAGAAAGAAAGAAAGAAAGAAAGAAAGAAGGAAAATAAAGATAAAGTGTTTTTAGTCCCTAGAGTTAGACTATATTTAGGCCAATTATCAAATATTAAAATGCTATTACTTAAGATTAAACTATACAGTGGCAAGACTTGTGTTGCCTTAGAATCTCAAAAAAAAAAAATTACTCAGTTTTCATCCAGAAGAAATAGTCACTAATAAATTAAAGACTTATCAAACCACTTCAGAATATATTATCATGCCCCTTTATAGTAAACTCATCAGATTAAAACTTCATGTTACAGGGTCCAGCAGTTAGCATAATGGCTATGTCGCTGAACTCCCATGTAGTTGACTGCGGTTTGAGTCCCGGACCCAGTGGCTTAAACTCACGCCGGACGCGTGTGCGTGTGTGCCCAAGATCCCAAGAGGAGAATGGAGAAAAAGGGATTGAGTCATGGCCATCCCTCCTGGGGGGGTGACTTCTCACTTTCTGTCTCTGTCTCCCTCTGTCTTTCTTGCGAGCTCATGCGTCCTATAGCAAAAACCTCTCAAAAAAAAAAAAAAAACCACGAAAAAAAAAAAAAAAAACACATAAGGTTAAAATTTAAAAACTGAATTAAAATCACATATCTCTTCTCTTGAATTCTTAAAATCTGAGAATTTCATAAGGAGTTTCTACCAATTTCTCATAATAAAACCCTGTTAATCTGGATAATTTCTTAGAATTTAGTAATAAAAATTAAATGAAAGTATTACATACTAACATAAGCCCTTATAATACCACTTTGACCAGGAAGATATTTTTATCAGTGAGATTTTTCAACAAGTACATATTTATGTATATTCACAGTGCTTCTAGCACAGTGATGGACATGTGAGAAGGAATTCAGTTCCATAAATATTTACATGGTTAACTTTAAAGTGCCACCTAAGCTTTTCTCTTACATATTCCAAGCATATTCTCCATAAATTGATTATACTATTTACATAAATTAGTCTTCAAAGTGCTTTTTTACATTTATGACTCAAATTAAAATATTAATTTTTTTTCTTTTTTTGGGGAGAGGTTTTTTGCTATAGGGCGCATGTGCTCACCAGACAGACAGAGAGAGACAGAGAGACAGAAAGCGAGAATTCACCCCCCCAAGGGGGATGGCCACGCTGCAATCCCTTCTCCTCCATTCTCTCGGGATCTTGGGCACGCATGCACATGGGCCCAGCGTGAGTTTAAGCCACCAGGTCCGGGACTCGAACCGCGGTTGACTACATGGGAGTCCAGCGACATAACCATTACACTAACTGCTGGTCTCAAAATATTAATTTAAAAGGAAGCAATCATCTTGTGAAAATCTGTACTACAGTATGAAATCTTACATATACAGAAGAAACTTAAGAGTAGTGCTAGAATATAACTTACAGTTACAGAATTTAAAAATACATGCTTTATTATTTTTACTTTTACAGGTAGGAAAAAAACATCAATATGTTACTATTAGAATTAGGCAGACCTATTTCTTCATAAGTCTTAATACCCAGCTTAAGCCAAAATTCTAAGATAAATTAGGATACCTTAAATGGAGCCCGAGGGCTACTTAGCGACATATTGACAGTGGAAATTCTTTTTGTTTTATTTTCTTTCAGATGCTTTACCACTAAAAATATTGATATGAGAAGCAGAAACAGTGGGGCAGCGGTAATGAAATGTTCTGTGATGCTGTACCCACATGAGAAATCTTCCTGAACACACTGGGCATGTGTGCAGGCCCATGATCTGAAAAGGCTGGGGCATGGATCATGGTGTTAAGACCATGTTGAAGTTTCCTGTTTCTCTCTCTCTTCCTTGCTCTGTCTCTCTCACAGAAACAATAAAACAAATAAATTTATAAAATATGCAAAACTTCATATTTTGTGTATAACTTTGTACTTTATTGTTTACCCACAGTAGTATTAAGAATAAATAATAACAATTACACCAGAAAAAATCAATATTAAATGTTATACATATTTATGTCCTTTTCTAGAGTTTCACATACCCAAATATAAAGGATGATACAATTAAGTGCACCATATTCTTAATCTTGCTACTGCAAAGAGAAACAAAAATAAAATAATTAATCACAGGTTTCTCCTAACATATTATGAATTTAAGGAAAAAAAACTTTTATAATTTTAAGAGAAAATTCTTTAGAAGTTGTATACCAAAATAGTTTTACTCATAGCTATCATAAAATCTTCACTTTTCTGTTTCATAAGTTTTAAAATTTCTTATCCTAAACTTTGGATGTTTAATAACATTCCCCTTGCATGTAAAGCCTTAACCCTGACATTATGGTAATATTAGAGTCAAAGTTATCAGCTAAAGCAGCATAACTGAAGACAAAAGGGAGTGGTATAGAATAGAACGGCATCTTATGGTCAGCGCCTCTATAACAAATGGTAGGATCCTAGGCAATTCATCAAACCTTGCCCAGATCTCAGTTTCCTAAATAATGACCTAAAGGATTTGGGTCAAGCATAGGGATACGGAATACTCTTGTCCTTTAATATTCTTTCCTTTCTCGCTTTTCCTCTTTATCTCTGGCAAGTACACATAGCCTATGGCAAAAATACCAAAAAAAAAAAAAAAAGCTGCAATATAATATCAAAGTTGAATCTAAAACACAAATAATGAATTGGTTGACTATGTGGAAGTCCAGTGATGTAACCATTACACCATCTGCTGGCCCTTTAAACTTTTTAAGCTCTCATATATCTTCCTCTGACAGTTTTCTGTTCAGATCAATTGGGGGGTGGTGGTAAACTTTGAATTCCTTACATAGTTCGTTTGTCAATCCCTTAACTAAAGTATAGTTTGCATTCTGTGAATTGCCTCTTTATTTTTTATTATTTGCTTTTCTTTACAGAAGCTTTTTATCTTAATGTAATCTCATTTGTCTATTTTTGGTGTTATTGTCTTTGTTTTAGGGGACTTACTTAAGAAATTTCCATCAACCACAATATCTTAAAATGTCTCTCCAATGTTTTTCTCCAGTAGTTCTATGGTTGGGCTTTATGTTTAAATCTTTTATCTATTTGAGTTAATTTTTGTTAATGATGACAGATGGGGGTTTAGTTTTATTCTTCTGCAAGTGGATATCCAGTTTTCCCAGTTCCATTGTTGAAAAGACGATCTTTTCTCCACTGGATTGTCTTGTGACTTTCTTCAAAAATAAGTTGGCTGTTTATTGTTGGATTTATTTCTGGATTCTCTATTCTGTTCCATTGGTCCATGTGTCTGTTTTTGTGCCATACTGTTCTTGTATATAGCTTTGTGATATATTTTGAAGTCAGGTAGTGAGATGCCTCTGATTTTACTCTTTTGAATAGTATTGCTTTGGCAATATATGATTTTTTGTGATTTCATATGAATTTTGTGATTGCTTTTTCTATTTCTGTGGAAAATGTTGCTGAAATTTTTATAGGAATTGCATTGAAATTGTAGGTCACTTGGGGAAGTATGGACATTTTAACTGTGTTAATTCCTCCAATTCATGAACAAGAGATGTCTTTCCTTTTTTCTTTCCATCTTTTTCAATTTCTTCATTCAGTTTTTAAATAACTTTCATAGTATACATTTTACTTCTTTGGTTAGAATTATTTCTAGATATTTTTTGTGGCTATAGTAAATGAAAATGATTTCTTCACTTCTACCTTGATTTATTCATTGATAGAGTACAAAAATATTACAACATTTTTTGTTGTTTTAGGGCATGCGTGCTCACTGGGGCAGAGGAGGAGAACATGAGAAATCACCTTTTCACAGGGATGACCATGCCACAATCCTTTCTCCTCCATTCTCTCAGTATTTTTGACACACACACACACACCTGGCTTTTTTTTTTTTTTTTTTTTTTAGGAAAAGATCATTCTGATGCTTTTATTTTCTGGTCCTTCTATTGTATAGACATAGTCCTCATTGGGTTGAATTGCAGGATCAGGATTTTCTGGGTTTCTACCAGATTGGCACCTCCCAGACTGGCCCTGGAGCTTGATTGATGTGTCTGGTAGAGACCACAGTTGGCACTGAAGACAGTCCACAGGCCCATTTTCCACCTGGAACCCTCATACAGCCATGCAGCTAATGACCTATAGTTAGCTCATCACAAAGTCACCAGGAATTTATTTTTCTTGAGGTCCTTGGGGGGAAAAGCATTTATAATTTCTTTTTTTTAAATATGCATTTTTTTATATTTTGATGACAGTTTTAGTGTTTTTTTTTCTCCTGAAAATTTTTTTAAATTAATTTACATTCATTCCTGTGCATCATCGCAACATACTAAATGTGGTTTCCCATCTAGGGTAAACTGCATAGTAGCTTAATCATGCATGTTATCATCAATAATATTCAATTTCTACTTTCATATATATATATACATATATACACATATATACACATATATATGTACACACATATATATATATGTGTGTGTGTGTGTGTGTGTGTGTGTGTGTTTTCTACCCCATGTCTGACCCTCTGCCCTTTCCCACTGTCTTATTACACTATCTCTGCTGCCTACAGTTGACTTCCATTCCTTTTCCCCCAACATTTTGTTGGTCACACCATATCATAAGTAATCTAACTACTTTCAAGAGCAAGTTCAGGTGGTGATTTCAAGAAAAGCAGTTTTGAACTGGTAAGGATAGTTCCTTGAAACTTAAAACCTAGAAATAGGTTAGTATCCTGTTCAAATAGTAGGTACATGAATCTATTGACAGTTCAAGACAGGACGAAAATCCTTAAAACCGGACAACAAAGCTTAGAAGAAAAGCAGCAATATTTTAGTCAAGTCACAGAATGCTGTTTCATCTGTTCAGTCTCGTGTACTTAATCTTTCTTCTGTTGAGGTTCGATCTTCCAGACTGAATTCTGGGATATAATACTCAACTCCAGACTTTGTCCCTACAATTAAGTTGCCCATTTTCTTAGTTTCTGAACTCTTATTTCTGTGTGTCTGCATTTAATTTTACTGATATAGTACTCCCTTAAGAACTTCTTGGAGATCTGGCCTGGTACTGGTAAATTCTTTCAGGTTTTGTTTATCTGAGAATGTTCATGTCTTTTCTTCCCA